AAGTAATCTCTCAGCGATTCTAATCTTTAATCGTTTTAGTGCCAATATCATTTATTGCTGTGTAACCAAAAATTAATGACCCCAGCTTGTGTGACGTTATGCGAATACTGAAACGTTGAAAATCGGCGGACCGGGCAAGTAATTCGACCTGACCTCGGTTGAAAGACGAGGAGCCTATCGAACCTTTGTTCCACATTAGGCAAAGCATATACAAGAAAGCCACCAAATCGATACCCAGCTCTCCCTTAAAAAAGAATATCGACGACGAGAAATTTGGTTTCCTTAACCCATTCAGACATCTGCAGCTCGATTTATAACCATGATACCACATTCTTGTTTCTTGAGAAGAAGAGTAGGCATTCTTTAGATGACCTTTCTTCACGTATATTATGCGAATACGAACACTATTTCATTTGGTTCGTTTCCTTGCATCTGCCGTGCTACCGTCGTATTTGCGTGTGGGTTCGGCTGCCACTTTGAGCACTTTGTCTTTTTCACGAACGACGTTGACTAATGGTCCAGTTGATCCTCCGTGGAATCCTGGGACCGCTGTACTAGTGCATTCCCGGGTTTTACCAAAGGCAATAATCGGCAATCGTGGATCAGTGGGAACTTTACATGGCTATTTATAAAGTAGCTTCTTTATAGTGAATGTCGGTAGGAATGGTTGATGAAACCATTACTCTGAAAATTCGGGAACGGAGAAACTGAATATTTGCATATAATGCTGAGATATTTGCCAAACTCCGGACCGCAGGTGTATGCGGTGGAGAACGAACACGAGCTGTTGTTCTTGCCGGGGGAGCAGCGCACTTCACCACCAAGCCATCCGGGTCCTTCGTTTTGCCTGTCTCTCAGGCTAGTTCTATCGATCGTTCTATCGAAGTGCGCTGCACCCCGGTAAGGACAACAGCTCGTGTTCGTTCCCCACCGCATACACCTGCGGTCCGGAGTTTTGCAAATATCTCAGCATTATATATGAGTTATATTTCGCAACATACCCTGCCATTAAAAAGAAAAAGGCAGTAAACAAATGGGTTAAAAAAACTGAATATTGTTTTGCAAGAAGTGTAGGCAGAACTGTTATCTCATATAGATGGCTCACAAAACAGCTAATCAACAGCCGGGTGTCACTACAGGAATATCAGGACTGAGGGCTTTTCGTGTTTATGCAACCAGAGCAGTTTTAGCCATTTGAGAACAATCCGCGCATGATATACACACATTTTGGAAGTTCCCTCCGAAAGAATGAAGCATGAAGCAATGAATGAAGAATGTAGGTACGTTGCAACCATAGGACGTCAGCCACAGCGATACAAGTTGTCAGCATTTCTGCCTTCGTCCAGATCATCCAACGTCCCTCATCAATCCTGACCTCTAAGCTCTCAATGAATTGAAATCTTATTGATGTAGAAGGGTGGAAACATAGCGTAGTTTCCACTCATCTCTTGTCGCGTGCTTCCCACGGGGATCTCGAGATTCATTCATTCTATGTTAAAATTCATTTTACTTAAAAATTGGCAGCCGGGTTTCACTCTCACTACTGTGGCCAAGTTATGTAGACTTTTAAAAGTTTTTGCTGAGTGTTCACCGATTTCTGGCCTTCATCTTTTTCTCCATGAAGCAAAAGACGGTGCTGGCCAGTTATTTTCATTCAAATTCACCTACTATGGTACTTCAAAATGTTTTCGATACGTCATTAAAATAATCTGCTATTTATTCATATTTATTTATGTGACCTCATCCGTGAATAAAAATTATGTGCATATCAACTCTACTTTTGTTAAAAGTCGCTGTTGCCCTCGAATCCACCTTTGTCAAAGCAATTCTCCTAAGACTCTTTGTGTGCGTTTTTGATGGGTGCATGAGCAGTTTGATTACTATCCCATCTATCGATTAGATCGACTACCATTTTCTTGAAAAGAAAGGCGCGTGAGGCGCTGTGGTTGGAGGCCTCACTACAACACACACGTGGAATCGATCCCCGCGCCCATAGCCCACCAAGCCTTCCATCCCTCCGGGGTCGGCGAATTGGTACCAGACTTGTCTGGGAGAATAGCAGCACTTGCTCGATACATCGGCAGGCCACCACGAGTCATTGTAAAGGCCAGATATGCATTCAGTCACCTCCAATCAACTTTACACAATATGTACTCGAGCATCGCTTTTAATCGATTCAAATCACATATTATCACTATCAAGTGGTAGGAGAGCTAAGGCGGTCTATTATAATTGATTGTGATGTGACTGATGCTCACGCACAGCACCGTAATCCATGTAGTGAATCACTCCACATCAATATGGACGTCATGGTGTCAGGATGACGACGATCCTGGACTTAAGTGGGCGGAGGGCCTGTCTTCTCAACCTATCCATAATGTTATAGTATAGAATCAGTAGTAAAAAACATACCCATCCACTCTTCCGATTCCATTTCCTGTCGCGTTGCTTAGAAACTCTGAAGAAGAAATCAGTGATATTTCTAAACTTAACGGATCTAGCTGATTCTATAGAACCAGCCGAATTGTTTGGAATATTCGAAATTTTGGCTTCGCAAGTCACCACGGGACAGATACCTTTTCTGTATCAGCGATAGATCGTGTTTTGTTTGTTTTCGGAACCTTCTGCAGTGTTCGCAAGTTACAAGAAATGACAGCAACAGTGACGTCTTTAAACCATATTTATGTGTTTGGTTTCTCTTGATGCGATTAATACTTGAAAAACTTTGCGAATTTCTTTATGTATGTGTAAGTATTAATCAGCAAATTCGGTACATACGACGTGAGCTAATCGATTCCTATTTTTTAAATGTACACTTCTGTTATACCAGATTCTTGTTGAAGGTCCAGCGTTAAGGAATGGTTTATGTGAATAAGGCAGTCGAGGCGTACTCTCCTAATACCTACTCAGTACGCCGCTTCGTCGAAATCACTTTGAATAACTTGATGACTCAAATTCAGTGATCTTTAAAGACCAAAACTGTTGACGAACAAAAACCAGCTCAACAAAAAAAAACATGACGTCACTATTTTGTCCTTACGCTTTCTTTGTACCTACGACAAAATTCGAACTTTTCTCATGCAGTTTCGGTTGCTGTTTGAGGATCGCGGTCTTCTTTATGAATATCGCTGAATACTCGTCGAGTCGTTTTTTCCTAGATTCCTGAGGAAATTGATCTAGAGCGATCGCCCTTAAATTTCAGGAAGTGAACGGTTTTCAGAAAAGTACTTTAGTACCAGGTACCTTATTATTGAGGAGTGAAAGGCTTGGTGAGCCCAGTGCGGAGTCGAACCTGGACTATGCTCGTAATTGGACAGCATCGCTGCCACTTCGCTACTATATCCTGATATCGCTTCCCCACTATTGCTTCTATGAAATCTATCACCAATTCCTGCAGTAGTCCCTTGTTGCGAAAACTGCACGTTCGCCTGTTGTGAAAAATACTGAGAATTGAAATTGCAAATGTTCGCAGTTGCCGATCTATCCCAGCAAAAGTTTACCGCACCATTGTAGATGGGAAAGGTAGTTGGTGTGTGCGGAACTGCCACATGATGGATCCATTTCACATTAGAGCTGGGCAAATTGCAAAAGACTGGGAAAATTCATCCAGCACTCATCGAAGAGCAAGCTAGTATTTAAAATTATCATCATTCGGGCAAATAACCAAGTTTTAATGGTAGTAATTCTCTCTACAATTCGAATGGACCAGCGAATGCATACGGTAAGCGCTTGTGTTCACGCCTTTATGATTATTCTTGAATACAGGTCATTAAAGTATCTAGCTAAGTAACTAACAATATAGCGTATGTTATTGAAGCAAGGCCATCTATAAAGACAGCGACATAATCCTGAACAAAGTCGTGATTCACTGTGAATTGCTTTGTACAGCAGTCTGATGAATTGTAATGGAAGCACTGAAAAATGTGATAACTTCTTTGCACATCACGAGCTGATATCAGACAAGCCTGGTACCAGGCTTTTCTCCTTGAAGCTAGGCTAGGCTTGGTATCATCACGTAATAGAAAAGCCGCTTTGCTCGTAATAAACGTCATCGCTACCACTAAGCTACCCACCACAATTTTTCTACATTAGGCTAACCTATTTACTTCGACTCAATTATTAGGAACTGTTTTTGGTTACGTACATATCTACTTTCTTCTTCATTACTACGTGAACGGTTATATGCTTTTGTTCTGGACTCCACCATGAATTCTTTCAAGCACACTCTCCATCTATCCTGAGAGATTCTCGTACTAACTGCTCCCAACTGATCTTGCCAACTAATATGAAAAAAAGGCCAAACTTCTGTAGATATTAAGCAACCTGATTTAAAGGGGGATGTACGGTATAGAAGCCACCAGTGCCGGATCTACCAGTGCCATCAGCAATCACCTGTCAACGCGAATAAAGCTATTTTGGAATAGCCAAAATTTCGACAATATGCTCAACTTAACTAGGTTTAATGCCGAATTGTGCTCCACAGATCAATCTCTTGCGGATGGCCCCTTGAGTCATTGCTGATGGCTTGGTAGCTAGAAAACCGGTTGAAAAACTGGCAAAACGAAGGGCCAGAATGATGTTGTGGTGAACGCGTTAGCCCCCGGAAAGGGTAATAGCGTGTTCGATTCTCCGCGCAGACACTTGCCGTCCAGAGTTTTATATCTCAGTACTCAGTAGAATATCTCAGTACCGTTATGCTTGTATTCTAAAACATTTATTCATATTCGCACTTAAAACATTCGATGCACTTTTGGTAAAGGTGTGTCCTCTTTGATTGTCATTGAAAAGGCCAATTTACTCACATTAAAGGACTTTCCCACTAACGATTTTCTGAAGCACGTCTATAGATGACTCAAATCATCACCTGTTTCAACCGTTGTTCAGCAACCGTATTTTCGCTGGAATTACGTTAAATGATCCTTACCAGATGATTTCCATTGAATGATAGTTGTCCATACTTGTAACTACATTTCAAAACCAGCAAATTCACTTATCAGACATCAAAAGTACAAAGACTTTTTCTCTATCATTATTCATCAGCAAAACAATAAAAATAGGAGTTCACATGGAAAAGATATGGGCTGTCTCTATTTTCCTTGAATGAGCAAAGCCTACTGGTCAACACTTGAACGACTAACAAGAACGAATGGAGGCTTTGCTGGCACCACTTAGGGAATCGTCCAACGACGGGCTCACAAGTGACTGATCCATTATTCATTTCGAATGATCTAACAAATTTTCGTTTTCATTTACGATATCCTTCTTTTTCTTCTTAAATACAAGAATTTTCGAGCCAGAGAGAATTCCCAACCGACCGCCGTTTACAATTTTCTCAACGGTACCAGAAAGGAAGATCTTGTTGAAGTAGTGAAAACCTCTCGGTAGAATCCGAAGTTTTTGTGCAACGTTCACAAGACTCTCTGTTAAAAAATAATCATAAATAAATCCCTTTTTTCAGAATCACTCAAAAAAAAAGTAAAGAAAAAACTCACTTATCAATGGACTTTCGATAAGCCACATAAAAATCGGTGAATGAGAAAAACAGTAATGAAAAGGAATGCCATTCGTCTCTGACAAATCTTCTTCGTCTTCAAAAATCAAGTCGAATCTAGGGAAACGAGAAAATCGATCAATAAATAGTTTTATATGGTGTTATTAGAATAAATCCTTATGCATGCAGATGCCTATGTCGATTTTATTGCTAAATGCTTCTCGAGTATTCGAAAAATCACTTGTCGAATATCCACGTCTTACTGTACTTGACGTATGAGATATGGTGCGATTTTAAGAAAGAGAGAAAGATATGAAAGTCAAAAAGTTAGAGAGAAAGAAGTTGATGTAAAATTAACTTCTCAATCATTAGACAGTTGGGCATTTCTTACTATACTGTTGTCGTCAACGTTTCCATAGGCTTCTCTACATTTCTGGTTTTCATAGAATGTGCGAACCACGCATAAAATAAACAGCGATCGAGGTTATTTGCAATAATGGTAATAATGGTAACAACATGGCGTGGGTGGAGCAGTGGCTGGAGGCGCCACTGCGACACAGACGTGAAATCGATCCCCGCGCCCATGGCCCATCAAGCCTTCCATCCCTCCGGGGTCGGCAAATTGGTACCAGACTTATCTGGAAGGATAGCAGCAATGGCTCGATACATCGGTAGGCCACCGCGACTCATTGTAAAGGCCAGATGTGCATTCAGTCACCTCCAACGATGCTTAGTGAATTCGAATGCATGGCGCATCCCTCAAGGATTGATCGACTCCGGGAGCTTTATCCTTTTAGAGCTTTTAATGGTAATAATAATTAATAGTGGTAATAACACTAATAATGGAAGAGAGATAACATTATCACTAATACCTACTTATTTATTACTAAGTAATAATAGTAATAGCAACAATAATAAATAATAATAAGACCATCGCAATTTTCTTAGGTTCGAACCTTTCAGCAGCTTCTAGCATTTGAGCTCGTGTATGTAACGATGGCATCCCACAAGCGTATTCCAAGCCCTCAATGATCTGAAAATCCTTACGAGACTTTCTTGGATAATGAACGATTGAAATTACTGACATTACTACGTTTTAAACTTTATTTTCCATTAATTCTTTGTTTATGGTTGGATGTTACATGAAATACGATCTCAAGGATGCTGAGATATGAGCGAATCTCGAAACTTCAGATGGATTTCAAACCAGGGGTCACGTACTTTCCACCATACCAACCTAGGCTCCTGGTTTACCTTCTCTCATGTTCGAAGCCCAAAGGAGTCCGCAAGTTTTGCACGCATCTCAGTGTCGTTGTGGTTGTATTTCACACAATACCTTGCCATGAAAGAAGAGAAGGCAGTAAATAAAAATTAAACATTGTGGTTTCTAAAGCAGCTTCCGCTTAACTAGGTTCAATGTGGATTTGTGGTTTTCAGATCATTTCCACTGGTTTTGGCAGATATCTAACATTGGATATCCACATGCAATATCCACACAGAATTTACGAGTAAATTCTGAACGAGAGAGACAGGAAAGCAGTGGTTTGAGTCCTCCAACTATGTGACAGAGATGAAGTACGATACGAACAATTTTCATTTAGACCAGTTTTCAATGCCTCATAATTAAGAAGTTGTTCTTTACTCTATACTCTTGCAAACTCGAGCGGCAATCTACCCAGCTATCCATAACCAAACAGAGAAAATGCCAAACCAATGTGATTCAAAACCTTCCACTTAACTAGGTTCAATGCCCATTTATGATTTCCAGATCATTTCTACTGCTCTTGGTAGATGTCTAAAACTCGATACCCACATACTTCATCCATTCAAAATGTACCAGTAAATTTTTAAAGACAGAGGCTGGAAACCAATCGTTCGAATCCTCCAGTCATATGAGACAGATGAAGTACGATAGAAAGAATTTTACTTTGGCTTGAATCATCATTATGATTGATGCAGGTGCTTGACCGGGTAGATAGGTCAACTCGACCTTTGCAGATTCTGAGGAGTCGAAATCCGCCGAAACGTCCGTCAATAAAAAATGAAGTAACATCTCGCGTTCGGTCAACCAGAGTACAGGGTTATTGGATCAATGCCGGGGTTAGTAGAAAGTCAGTTGTGGAAATTACTACAAAACGTGTCAGTAAGAGATTGTTGTTCTTCTCATTTCGCGTTGGTCCCCTAACTTCTAGTTATACCTCCCAACAGTTTACCGTCTTGTCGTGGCCATTTATTCCCCATCTAGTCACCACATACGAAATCCTGTCACCGCGCTTGGCCATTCTTCATCTCCAATTTGCGCGCCAAAGGAAAATCAGTATCATCAAATGTTGCAGCTGCATCAACAAGAAATTTTATAGATTCGTTGCCTGAGAGTTTAATGTCAGATCACGAACGGCAAACGAAAATGATTACGGGAAGAAGGAAACTCGGAATAGAAGAAAGAAATGGAAATGAAAACCTCCTTTCAAGATTACTGTGCACGGGAATAAATTCAAAAAGTCCAGAAAAGAACCACAACAAGTGTCTTGTGATCACGCTTATCCTAACGCTATACCTCAGGCTGATTCTCTGACCTAAACCAGGCACATTCTTCGCTCATGTAATCATATGTGCGGCTGGTGCCCACCAAATAACTGGAAGACTTTCAAGTAATAAAATGGTGGGTGCTTAATAGAAGCTTTTTGTTAGGCGAATAGAATTTTATGTGTTAATATTCTCTACTGAGGTTATGAAAGGCTTTTGGCTAAGTAAATTGCATTCAATTTTCCCTTTCCAGGCTCTGAAGAAGTCGAAACCACCGAAACATCGCCTTTCTTGTATTAATAAATCCTGTAATACAAACCCTCTTTTTTGTTCATCAAGAAAAATATTGAATTATAATTCGGTTGTATTTTACCAACCATTAATACTGTAACCTCCCAGCGGTTTACAGCCTCATCGTGGCCAGGTGTCCCTAGGTGTCGGACTGCGACGTATAATGGGGGTCCATCCCCTGGTAAGGGTTCCCAAGCTGAGAAGGAGTCCGGCGTTTCCATCAGGGAGCCCAGCTAAGAGCAAACTAATACCGGGATCCATCACCGTCCTGGTATCAAAGTCACATGGTGGCAAATCTCCCTCTGACCCACAAGGGCTGCGACTGACTATGGTGGTGAAGACCTGGGGCAGACTTTGGCCAGGCCGACCTAGGGATTCCAGGAAATCAAAATAGCTTAACGAACAAATCACCGAAGAATGGATGTTATGACGGGGTCCGCACAACCAGTGAGGACGGTTCATTCAAGCATCAAGTATAGTACGGTAACACATCGATGGACGGGTTTTGACCTTTTTGCATTGTAGTGCTCTCTTTTCATTGTTATTATAAAATAAGTTATCAAAATTTTTTGTGAAGTGATACCAAGCTTACCAAAATGCTACAAAGACAAAGAAACAGCTAACTTTGTATATTTTCACTAAGGTTGTCATAAGGAAACAATGGTGATAATTTATCAACACCGACACCAACAATAATGTAATATTCAACAAAACAAAAAATACAGTGAAATTTTAAAAAATCTGTGCGTGTTTTCGCCTGTTGTGTGTAATTTATCAACACTTGACCTTTCCAGGCTCTGAGAAAGGCGAAATCCGCCGAAACGTCAGTTTGTACGTAAGTAAAGAAATAAAATAGCACCTCGTGTTTGCTGAACAGAAGTAGAAAGAATTTATCAACAGTTATTAATAGTATTACAGTAAAAGGAAGATGAATGAGTTGGTGTTCCCCCCCCCCCCCCCCCCCCCTCCAGTTCACCCTTCTTTCCTGTGCATTTCTATAACAAAATTGTCCTTTCGTTACGATCCAAAAAATTACTATAAATGCTATTTTTCCTTTTGTTTACTGCCTATTACAATTTTTCATGCCGGAGTACCATGTGTGACACAACCACAATGGTGCTGAGATATTCGCAAAACTCCAAACCGCAGGTATCTGCCGTGGGAAACGAACACGCTATTACCCTCTCCGGGGGTTAACGCGCTCACAAGCGCACCATACTGGTCCTTCGTTTCGCCTGTCTCTCAGCAAGTTCTATCGACCTTTTGCCGTCAGTAATCACCCGTCAGCGGGATTGTTCTGGGGAGCCCAAATCGGCAACGAATCCAGTTAAGCTAAGGCCGTTGTAATGTTAATTTCCTTCTTATTTACCGCCTACAACAATTTTTCACGGCATAATACTACTATAGATATCGTCAATTTAGCTTTATTTATCACTTTAGTGTCAAAGTCATATGGAGCCATAATGCCGGTAGTGGATTTATCCATTTTTGAATTGGTGAAAACTTTTTTCTCTCTACAAAATCAGTGCCATCCTGTAGTCTTCAATAAATACGGATTTCACCTAAATCACCTTACCTTTGATAGAAGAGGGTAGAAATCGTTGCTTTTGGAGTGCTCAGGTTTTACACAGTTTTTCTTTTCCTCTCATTGGTTTATTTTAATGTTACTTTCAGTGTCGGCCTCATTATTTTGCGAGAAAAAACATTGTTTTCTGCCTTTTATTTCCTAGAAATTTCCATCAAGTTGCTGAATAGGAAAAAAAACGTGACGATCGTATTTACCTCGACGTGAACTTCATTCTTCTCGTCGTAGTTTTCGGTTTTGATCAAATCGTAGATAAGAAAACGACCACCGGGTTTTAGAATTCGCGAAACCTGCAACGATCCTCGTCATTACCACCTATGAAGTATAGCGCCTGAACGGAAGAATAAGCATGGTGGGCCCGTGATCCTAGAAAAAGGAAAAAATCTCATGTTATGAGATTAAGTAGTCCCTAGTAGAAAATTACGTAGCTACTGATGCTGAAGATAAATGGTGGTAGGACCAGTACAAAATTAAAAGTGGTTTGACTCCGGCTTAACAGTAACAGTGTTGATCCTCGTCTAAAAAAGTAGGGAAATAATAGAGGCCTTTTGTAGAATTTGCCGTGTAATCTAAAACCTATATATTTTCAATATTGCTGAAAAAGTGGTGAAATTACTCCAATGAACTTCACTGCTCTCTCTTGGCGTTAGCCAAGCTCTGAGGGTGCCCTATCGATGCATGTTATAAAATCCGTGTTGCTATCCTCCCAGAAAAATCCTGTAGCGATTTGTCGACCCAGGAGGACTGGAAGGCTTGGTGAGCCCGTGATGGGGAGTCAAAGCAGCAACGACGCCCGCATTGCAGGGCACGTCTAGCCACTGCGCTATAAGCATACAGCATTCTTATATTGTTATTAAGTGTGGAAGCTAATGGTAAATAACTCTTCAATATCCACTCGCCTCCATCATAATTCCATCAAGGCAGGAGAAATATTTGAGGGAATATACAGCATAAGCGGCATCTTGAGATTCGTCATCTAATGGCATGTCCTGACAGTCTCCCTCCAGCAATCGGCATGTTGATTCGATCCCGCGTTTACGAAATTCTCTATTTCCTAAAATGAATGCTAAGCTCCTAAAAGTACCAAAAAAACGTGATATTTTTTAAAAGTAAAAAGTAGGAACAAAAGCTGTGGTTGTGCGGCCGAGAACTCTCTTAAAAGCCGAGGATGGAGCGTAAATCGTAAAGTGTCGGTTTGCCCTCTGCTCACCGCAGCTGTCAGTAGCACACCCACACCACAGCCGCACAGCTTAACCCAGGTTATATGTTTAAAAAATATGGATTCATACGATTATAACCATTCCATCGTAAGCCAATAGAGAAAACAATTTTACTTTGATTCGGAAACTCTAAGAAACAAGTAGATTTGTGTACAAAACAAAATCTTGAATTATGTGCAAACGATTCCTCTCAAGCTTAAAAATGTTCAGCTAAAATTGCATTCAAAAAATAATCACTAAGGAGTGATTTTGGAGTTACGCGAAGTCCAATATCGTTCCTTTCTCCGAGTTCATACTTTTCTTTACATGCTTCCATCAACATGTTGGAGATACGCATCTATGGATCGAACTGTTAGAGAAGACGATTAATTAGGAGAACATGTATCCGCAGAACAGCTAGATATGACTTCACTTCACAAAATGCTTTCGAAAGAGAAAGATCTCCAGTCATTCACAAGACCGGCTTTCTGTTAACCTCGACAATGATTGAAAATTCGATGTTTTTCTTCAATAAGCAGAAACGAGGTTGTTATTACAGAATTTATTAGGATACAATAGCTGACCTTTCGGCGGTTTCGCCTTCTTCAGTGCCTGGAAAGGTCAAATTGAGATGCGATTTACTCAGCTAAACACTTTCATAACCCCAGCAGATAAAACTTAACAAATAAATTTGCATTCGCTTAAAAGACAGCTTCATTTAAACACCCACCATTTATTTGTTGTAAGTATTCCAATTAGCTGGTAGATAGCAGCCGTAGAGTAATACACGGGGGACTATGCCTGCGTCAGGCCGTTGATTAAGCTTGAGGTAGGGCGCTTGGTCACACGTGTTCAAATGGCTGCGAAACTAGCTTCTCGGAATAGGTAAAGAGGAAAAACCATGCCCGACAACGATAATTTTAGCGAAAACAAGACAGCATTCCTCTTGCCCTTTATTTCAAACGAAATAAGTTTAGCCATAAATCGTTGCTTAATAAGGGCCGGTCTCGAAAATTCCGTAAGAGTGGTAGAAACACCATCGGACACTCTAAGACACAAGCTAGCTCGCAACCGCCTACATGACCGTCTATGTATAACGAAAAACTGTATAATTTGCCCTAACGGTAGAGACCGTGATTGCATGAGTTCGGGTACAGTCTATCTGATCTCTTGTAAAGCGTGCGGGCACGAATATGTTGCCGAAACGGGTAGACCGCTCTGCGTCCGCATAAAAGAACATCTAGTCGGTAAATCTAAATTAAAACAAAATACTCCACTAGGCGCGCATAGGATGCAGGAACACAACGAACAGAAGATTTTGAAGTAGGAGTCGCTATCTTCACGCACGAATCGAAAACATCAGCACGTAAAACTCTTGAAGCGTTTTGGGTCAATTTCAAAAATTCAAAAATGAACCGTAAGGAGGAGTGTCTTGCCATCACGCGTGATCTGGCGCCATATCTCAGGCTAACCTAATGACCTGACACAGGCACAGCCCTCGCCCATGTATTATTCTGTGCGGCTATCACACGGGTTATCCGCCAACTAATTATAATAATATAATAAGTTGCTTCTTATGCGAATGCAAATTTATTTGTTAAGTTTTTTCTGCTGGGGTTATGTAAGTGTTTGGCTGAGTAGATCACATCTCAATTTGACCTTTCCAGGCTCTGAAGAAGGCGAAACCGCCGAAACGTCAGCTGTATCCTAATAAATTCTACAATAACAACCTCGTGTCTGCTTATTGAAGAACATCGATCTCCGGTCAGTCCTCATAAGTAGTCTTCTTGCAAAGGGGATAAAAATATGACGAGGCTGGCCCCTGTTGTCTAATCTGCTAGTTAGGTATGGTTTACAGAATATTCATGGGAAAGGAAAGCTAATGTGATAAAAAGAAAAGACAAAGCCTAAGCACTTAAAGAATCTGGATATGAACAACGATTACATCAAACCATAGGCAGATTTGTAGAAATCTGTTCAAGTAGCCCTTGTTTCATCAGCAGTATAAGACGACATCGAACTGTATTACCAATAAAAGGATAAAAAATGATAAAGTTCTCGGCGTTGTTCAATTCCTGAGGGATGCGCCATTCGACTTCGTTAAGTATCGCTGGAGGTGATTGAATGAATATCTGGCCTTTATAATGATTCACGGCGGCCCACCGATGTATCGAACCATCCTTCCAGACAAGTCTGGTACCAATTTTCCGACCCCAGAGGGATGGAAGGCTTAGTGGGCCATAAGTGCGGGGATCGATTCCACGCGTGTGTTGCAGGGCGCTTCCGTCCACTGCGCCACACGGCCCATTTATTACCAATACCAAGCAGTCCAAATTACACGAAAACTCTAACTGACTGCTTTCACGATTACACTTCGATACACTCTTTCTCTTGACATTCGCACTAGAAAGAGAGTCAGAAAACGCGATATCGTTTTGTCAAATCTAATAACCATCACAGTAAGAAGAATCATAAAATTACTAAGATGGGACGAAGACGGCGGTAGGAAATCCTTAATAAAGAATTCGCTGCTTTCTTGATAAGCACACGCAAGGTTGTTGCTACATACTATTTGTTCACAGCAGCTAACGTTTTGGTGGATTTCGCCTTCAGAGCCGTATTCTGTGAGTCTTCCGCTGAGTATTATAAGTGGAGACCAACCTACAGGGCTCACAACGATGGGTGTGCTCCAGTGAACGTTTGTTTTGTCGACGATGATGTTGACATGGATAAATGGGTGGATGAATTGAAAGAACAAGCGCAAGGAAAACCGTGGATTCTATCAAGAAAGACATAGATGAAACTGCGATAATAAAAACAACGCAATTTGATTGAAAGGTTATCCCAACTTATTTGAATACTCGAATGGTCCGTCTTCACGAATTGCGAGAAATCGCGTGGACTACAGCACAATTTCTACCTGACTAGTACTTCGATAGATTGGCACTTAGTTTACTGACACTACATTGTGGCCTGGGTTGTTCCTATGTTCACTTCCCTAACAGTTTCTAAAGCTGAGAAGTTATTCATCTCGTCCATCTGTAAGCTGAATTAAGAGGAAACCAGTGCATTACTATACTGTTTCAACAACATACAAGATGACAAATGGTGATGGCATGGGAAAGCACAAGAACGGTTTCCGAGAGTGCAGAGATAGGCAGCTTTGCACAATCAAAGAAGTTTCTAAAGTAAAGTGCCACTGGTACGAAGTCGAAACATGGGTGAACTTTCAATCCATTACGAAACCTTGTGCCATATTCAATGAACTCAGCTGTGACAGCTCAGGAGCAGAAATTCGCGCATGGCGCCAAGAACTGAAGAAGCTCTCCCCGCAAAGATACGAAAGAAGTGGAACTTGGACTAATGAAATTATGACTGACTACAAATTTCCATGAGAATCGAACATTTCCAGCATCGATCACATAACAGTTTTATAAAGAGGGTCACATTATAATAAATTCTCATTTGAAAGCCTTCAAGAACTTGTCAAATAAGATGCTATAAATAGCAATTACAAAAAAAATGTACTCTTAAACTTTTACATACCAATCTCAACCTCATTCGCTGCTATGGTAATTCCTATAAGGTTAGCGCCTGTAGGCCCCAGATTTCTCATCACTCCGCCGATTCCGCAACCGAGATCGACGCAAGACATGCCCGCACGCAAACCCAATCGTTCGCCAATTCTTCTAAATGCTTCAAAGTTTTTAAAAACAAAGAGGGAGGGATCCAATAGAGAGGCCAAAAAAGAATATTTGCGTCTAACAAACCTATGAAGTTCCATGAGCGCTTCCTCCAACGATAAGTTTCCCTTTCGTGGCGGAGCAAAGTGAAAATTTCCTGAAGACTGAATCATTTTTTATAATAGAAAATAAGAAATTGGTGGAAAGTAGTGGTACTGTATCTCTTAACTCTTATTTACCGCCTGTTCTTTTTTTTTTCATCGCAGGTTACTATGTGAGATGTAACCACAACAATGCTGAGATAATAGCAAAACTCGGAGCCTCGGGTGGGCTTCGAATCAGCCCTCGCGCTTTCCGGGAGCTCATGTGTTCTTTGCCACAGTTTAATAGGGTTCAATGTCCATTTCTGCCCCTCAGATCATCTCTGTTGATGCGTGGTTACTGAAAGGTATAGCAAGCGCCTCGGTTAATGTGGTGGACGACAGCACGTGACAACCCGGCAAGAGCAAGCGCGGGTTTGAATCTCAGCTAAGTTCCCGAACCCTGCCCATATCTCCGCTTAATTGCGATTGAAACTAGAGTATTAAAATAAAAGCAGTATAAGAAAGCGTGGGAATTATTAATGAGAAAAAATGGAATTGTAGCGCATATTCATCTTTTGACAACGTTTCCTTTAGGCTATGCACTAAACTGACAGCATATAATAGCTGATCAGATTATTTTTCGAAAACACACCAAAAAAGTTTGTACAGACGATGTCAAAAAATCTTACTGTAGTTCTTAATATGGACAAGATTACTGTGAAATGTACAATTTTCAAGACTCTCAGGTTTAGTGACGCGAGCTATGAGAAACGCATTGCTTTCAATCGCTTAAAAAATTTCTGGATGATCATCGTGATCCTTTATCGATATTTTGTCTCAATTGTCTTATAATATTTTATCGATATAAAACTTCCTATACAGAGTTTGGTGATGTTAAAGCGTTCATCAACAAAATAGATAGTAGTAGCTCAAATAGATTCAACTAGAAGTAGATAGATTTAACAGAAAATGAACGTTACAAAGTTCACAGACCTCCAAAGTACTCGTCGATGACTGCGGACATCAAGGAATAGTAATGTGTGGTGACTGCACGATGATCACCACTGGCCTTTGCCTCGTTGTAAAGACGGTCATGATCCTCGACGAATTCAGTCTGGAATCTCTCACCGGACTATTTAGTTCCATGGACCGCTTCATTCACAGTGGATATTGGTATTTTAGGATAAGAAATAGCCAACAGTCAGTAAACAAAACTTTTTGCGGGTTCAGACTTTTTGCTACACAAGTCAAAAAAATTGCTTAAGAGCACCGAGTTCAGTCGAATAGTGGCGTCTATCGTCCGTTCCATACTTCCCTACTATAACAACCATGCTACATTTCCCCTGCTAGATGAAACGGGCCTCTCATTGGGCTTCATTACTAGCACCTTTCTATCACCCTCAAACACTATTCGCCTAGTGTTTAATGAAGAAGGTCCATTCAAAAAAAATGCGGTCTGTATCATGTAAATCAAAACACTACACTATAAAGACCGAGGCGGAGCAGTTAGAAAGAAAGAAGCATAGGTGTTCAACTTTCAGTACGGGTCTCCAATCATTCAAATAGTTCAATACAACAGGTTTTTTGAGAACATAAGACTATATAGAAGAAATTAGCAAGGATCATTTTCGGATTAAACTCGTCGTTTTGCAACTGACTGAAACCAGCGCTCACAATGTAAACTCTTTCCTTTATTGTATCGCATACGAAAGTTCGAAAAACAACGGATGACCCATATATTTGGAACGGCGACTAGGTCAAGGCAAACATAGTTGATGCGAGCGGCCATTGTCTAGCGAAAAACTACATATAGGGCTGAAAAACCCTGGACAAGTAGCTCTAATCGATTAGTAACAACTAACCAGATCATGACGTCGAAAATGCATGATCAGTTTAAGAAAGTTTCGTTTCAGATCCACAGCCATTACGGCGATTGTACGTTTACAAACGTGACGCTCGCGTAACTGTTCACGTTATATGCGGCAATTCTTCTAGAAGGTATTGAAATCAGAGGAGTTTTGACGAAAACAGAAAGGCTGGAAACACAGTCGACCGACCGGAAAACTGCGTCAAGTGGGCGGGCCAAGGCATTTCAGTGCAACTTACAGATCGTCGGGTACGTGACGATCCTATCGAGAACCAGCTGTACTCGATCATATCTGCAGAACTAACACAGCTGGTTTATCGGATAATCTTCTAATGGCGGTTAATGTTTCTTCGTTCATAGGCTGTCTAATGGTGATAGTGATCAATAGTTTTGAGGTGATTGATGTAAACCTAGAAATTGTAGTATATTTGTATGACCGTTGCTACTCGGCGATGATCGTCATCGGGACGAAGATTTTAAATTTAGCTCATAAAAGCACAGGCAGGACAGTTTATGATATAACATGGAGGAATGCGACGACTGCAGAAGAGGTAAAAATAATGATGGTGGGAATTTTTCAACTATCCTGAATCAACGAAACTTTTACTGTATTTTAGAAGTACCAGGAGTAAAATGTAAAATTCCTCTCCTCTGTATCATATAAGTATTGATTGTGAACTTTATAAAATAATAGAATTCCATGGTAAAACTCTAATGTCTTCTAAGCCTATTTCTACAGGGGCTTCGTTCAAAAAATTTAACGTGACATCTGTTTACTTCACATTTCTCGTCTGGTGTACATTTTCGTACTCCAGAACGATAATATCTGATTGTCCTATTGGCGATTCGAAAGAGCGGAGCACTACTGTAGAATTTTCTTCGTATTTTTGTTGAGCAAACGCAAGGTGTTATTATTCTTTGTTCACGATTAAGCTGACGTTGCGGCGGATCTCGCCTTCCTCAGAGCCTGGAAAGGTCAAGTTGATAGCAATCCACTCGGCCAGACGCCTCCATAACCAAACAAAGAAACTCCAAACCAAGATTTCAATCACTTTGAACACAGCTTTGCACACTCACCGCTTTCTATGAGGTTTCCACTAAGTATGTCACGTAGAGACCAACCGCACAGAAATCACGTGGAAGTATAATGTGCCCCTCACATCAGAAAAGCAGTTTTATATACTGCCCTATATCACGCGTGATAATGAGGCATTCTTCCCTGCGGTTCATTTTCGGATTTCTGGAATTAATCCAGAGTGCCTCGAGAGTTTTTCGCGTTTGTCTTCTTGATTCGCGTGCGAGGATCGTGACACATACTTCGAAGTCGTCCCCGTTATGTATCTGGGTCCTATGCGTGCCTAGCGGGGTATTTGGTCTATTTTTGCCGGCTAGGTGTTCTTTCATGCGGACACAGTGGGGTCTACCCGTTTCGCCAATGTATTCGTCACCACACGTCTTACAGGAGATCAGATAAACTATACCCGAGCTCATGCAATCACCGTCTCTACCACTGGGGCAAATTATGCGATTTTGAGTTGCATATAGACGGTCATATAGGCGGTTGCGAACTAGCTGGCGCTTAAGATTACTCGGTGGTATTTCAACTACGCTCACCGAATTCTCTAAGCCCGCCCTTCTTAAGCAGCGTTTTATAGCTGTACTTATATCATTTGAGATGAAGGGTAGGATAAACGGGACCCTTCTATCGCTAGAGTTGTCGTTTGGAGGCCTACGATTTCCTCTACACCTATTCTGATTTTCTTTATCACTCCACCTTTATCACCGAAAAGATACAGCTCAAACCCCACTCCAGTGCAAAGACGTGGTATGCGAGAGGTACGAGAGCTGATAAGGTTGAAAACCATAAGACTATCCGTTAGCGATAAGGGTGGAGAGTTTGTCGTAATTCCTCATTAGTTAGATGTGGAAATAACGAAAAAGCATCTTGAGGATGCTTCGCTTTATCGCCCATCATCTGAGGAGGAATTCAAAAGTAAATACCGAAAACTAAACCACGAATGGGCCAAAATGGTAAGGGCTGCTGGTTTGAAACCATCAGTTATCTCTCAACTTAAAGTTGACTTACCAACATGCCCCGTCTTGTACTTTCTTATAAAAACTCATAAGTTAGTATCCAGTGATGATCTTGCGTCTACCGATCCATCACTATTTAAGGTTAAACCTATCATTAGCTGCGTAGACGGGCCAACGGACAGGATAACATAGTTTTTTAACCCTGATATTTAACCAGTTATTGAAACACATTCCAGCCCATCTTACGAATACCCAGATGTTTCTGGATCGTCTACGTACTGCGCAGCCCAACAGCGCGTGCGTGATGGAGTCCTTCGACGTTACCGCCCCTTATACAAACGTGTCGAATAACTCCGCAATGCAAGCCACATTCGAACTCCTTACACAACACGAAGAAGAAATAAACATGTATGGCTTCAAGATAGAGCACCTGATGGCACTCTTAAAAGAATGCTTGAGCTGCTCAATCTTCAGAAGGTCCGGAAAGTACTACGCTCAAATAAGAGGGTTGGCAATGGGACAACGACT